AACCAGGGATGTTGCGAATATTTTCATTCACATTCGTTATGCGAATGATTCCAATCATTTTACACATTCGCATTCGATATTCGCATTCGCATCAAATGATACGAATGTTTTGCGAATGCGAATGTGTACATGGGCAGATAGTCCACTCTAATATTGTTGAAATGGCTCTAACAGTCCGATTCTGTGCACTTGTTAAATAAAAAATTTTTTATAATTTGTAATTTTTTATTATTTATCGGGAATTGGAATTCTAGCTCAGAAATCAAAAGTTCTTTTCTTGATAAATTATCAAGATTGAAAACGCTATTGACAAGCGTCTACAAATTGAAATTTCGTATGAACCCAGCCAGCAAAATATCCGGAAACGTATCCGAAAACGGAAACAATTTCGTATAAAAACCTGATGTTTCATCCGTTTTCGGACGTTTTTCAGATCAATTCTCCCACTTAAGTGTTCAGACGAAACGTATGTGCAGAAAACTATCGAAAATGGTTGTAAAACTGATGCGCTTTCGGCAGTTTTCCTGAAATTTGTCTGATTAAATTTTTCGTTGAAAACGATTTCACTATGAACTTCACAGAAACTTTTTCATAGTTACTGGAAACCAAACAAAAAACAATTTAAGATTCAGAAATTATTTCAATTTAAATAAATAATTTCAATGTGTTGCTTCTGACGGAATTCGAACCTGGGACCTCCTGAAAGCTAACAAATAGTAGCACACTTCTCTGCACACTCAGCTACTGGCGAATACGTATATATGTTTTCAAATGCTCGGGTTGAACAAATATTTTAAAAGTATTATTTTGAAATAAGATGATGACATTTTTCGGATACGAAAAATTAACAAATATGGAAATAGTTTTCTGAACGTTTCCGAATACGAAAAATGTACGAAAACTGCACTTTCGGCAAAAAGTACGTTTCTCTGCTGGCTGGGAAAATTATAAATTTTGTATGTATATTAAAAAATTTGTTTCTATCATTTAAATACTGCATGTGTCAGCATTTGAACATGGGGCACACAGAATTTATAGCTGACATCTCTACCTACTGGGCTACGGCAGGCAAAGACTTTTTTGTTTTAAACTCATATTTTTCATATGCGACAATGAAATCAGTTCCACTCATGGAGAAATCAGTGAAAATCGTGGAACTTTTTATTTTATAAATATTGACACAGAATGCGATAAGAGCTGTTACTTGACAAAAATCTTGATAAAATTGCTTTACAAATAATTTATCCATGGTAGAAAAAAGAAGGTAATTTCACCTAATGACGTTAGCCATCTGACTTTTGCTGAGATTATGACATTTTCGTCAAAATCAAGCTACCAGATTGAAAATTATAATAAAATTTTTTTATGATCTGCAAGGAAAAAATTAAATAATTAAAAAAAATGAAGCTGCAGATACCACTGCAAGGAGGACGGTTCAATTTCCAGCGCTTCCTTTTGCGAGACCAAAATGGCTTGAAGCCTGCGGCTTGTATGTTCTCAACATTTTGCTACCACGGATATTAGCCGTAATTAATTATTGATTATTGTTATTGCAAATAAACGATGGGTTGCTGAGCCAAAATATCTTTCGAGAAATTAACGACATTCCAATATACGTAGAGGAGGAGGCGGAGGTAAAAATTTGTTTCCGACTCTATGATTATTTAGTGTTTAATTTTTTAAATAGCTTACAGAAGAGCATGGAGACTAAGAATTTCTCGAAAACATAGGTCCACTTAACGATATCGAGTTTGATTGACTAATTTTGCACGTTTTTTTTTTTTTGGAAGGACATTTTTTCGAATACGATATTCAAATCCAAAGTTAAAAGAGAACAAAACTAAATATGAAAATAAGAAGATGGGAAAAATGTCATCTTGATGAGTTTGTTGAATTTGTTAAATAAAAGCATTTAATTATATCAACGCAACATACATACATACATATAGATTAATTTTCAGTTTTGGGGTAGGGGTGAGAAATACCATAAACGTAAGTACATATGCCTTTATCCATTGTATTTCGAAGGAAAATTGCATTCTTTATATGTACATATTTTCAATACATATGTATTCGAGGTATACGCCGCCGGGCAACGCCGCCGCCGCCGCCGCCGTTTTTTGTCATTTCTCACGCGCCGCCGCTGAGACGGCGTTCGGCGCCTAAGGAATTTTGTACAAAATTTTCATGTTGTATGCACATTGAAATACATCGTTTGAAGGAACTAAATACTACTCGTATAAAAACACTGTTTTACGAAATGAAAATTACATTTTTAAAAGGATTTTTTTTTTTTGCATAATTTGGGCCACTGAACATTTCAAAAAAAGCGTAACTCAGAAAAAACATAGGTAACACGTTTTTCGATCGAAAGCGTTTGTTACAGTTAAATTAGGGTCGAATACTGAAAATCTGACGATTTTTTCCGCAGTAGAAATTTTTTTTCAATACTACAACAATACTAGTACTTTTTTATATACAACATCAACAAGAAAGTTATAACACATCAAAAACTTTAACGCCAATATCTCCGAAAGCAGTTTTAACAGAAGCGCCCTTATTGCATCTAACTCCTCAATTACTGGAGATAAAACAAAGACTAGTTGATTTTTCTGTGTGTTTTTTTTTTAACATTTTAAACAGAATTTTAATAAAAAGCAAACACTTTTTTTGCTAGTTTTTACATTCGTAAGTTACATTATTCTGGGGTCCCACAGACGTATACAAGAACTAGGTGGCTGTGTGAAAATTACGTTAGTATTCCTAAGTGGTGGTCAAACCCCAGGAAGGTTTTGCTCCCGCGCATCGCAATATTTTCTACACAGAGTTAAAGTCCCCCCTTTTTGGTAAAAATTATTATTATTTTTCATTACAATCGGTTCTCATTAGAAAAATTTGGCGCTTAATATTTTAGTGAAAACTTTAACCATCCATAAGCCATTTTTCAAACAGTGGGTAAAAATGGCCCGTTCTGCTGGGAGTTGATGGGTTTAGCTTTTGGAAAAAAGTAGGCCAACCTTATTTTCAACATATAACCCGCAAAAAATCGTAAGAACTCCGTAATTTAACATAACGGTTGATAAGCTTATTGCAAACATTTATTTAAAGCGACATAAATTACCCCAATAACTTATCCCTTTTCTTTAAATTGAAATAGTACATACGGATTTGTAGAGTACATAGAGATGTATCTATGTATATTAGGATGCCCATCGAAAATCGTTTTTTTTTTTTTGTACGTTAGTACTACATATTTTCAAATTGTGGAAATTATCGATGGTCAAAATTAAAAAATTCTTTGAAATTCAAGCAAAAATAGTAATTCAAAAACTCATGAATCTAGAAAATCGTATTTTCCGACCTAAATCGACAGGCCGCGACATCTAAATGGCCTTTAAAAAATCTATAAAAATAGGCAATAATATTTTTCATAGAAACGAATCAAATTAGGGGGTAGGGTCTTTAAATTTTCAAAAAAAGCATTTTCGATGGGAAACCTAATGTATATACAATATAGACTTTCTTCTGTTCGCCCATCCATCTGCAGCAGTCACTTAACATTCAATGAATGAATGAATGAATTAAATAGAATTATAATCTGATGACATGATAAGATTAGAAGCCTCATGGCTCTTTGGAATCTACCTTTTGGGCAGTAGCGCCGGCGTTTCCAGACGCGCCGGCATCGCCGCCGCCGCCGATTATTTTTGAAGTTGACCACGCCGCCGCCGCAAAGCCTGTCGGCGTAAACCTCTAATATGTATATCATGTACTAGACTTGCTTGGTTTCGTATAAGACTAAAATATTTACACCTATTTACTGTGAAAGAAATTATCGTCTCGAAATTCCCTAATTTATTTTTAAATATTAAGAATATGGTAAGGCTGCTAGCAACATGAACCATTTATGAAGTTTCAAAAATCTCAGTAACCGTCAAGAAGTTGTTTATTAAAACTACCTTCTTTTTTATCGTGTAATTTATCAAGAAAACACAGAATTGGGCGGTAAGTCTGTCTAACTAGGGTGCGGACAATAACCGAAACATTAAAAAATGTGAAATTAAAGCTTAACTGAAGGCCTATCTTAAAGAAAAACGAGCTCATCTCAGTGAAAATCCTCTCGAATGGTGGAAAACTTAACTCAAATACGACAAATTGACAGATCTGGCACTCAAATATTTGAGCGCTCCATCCGCCAGCGTTCCAAGTGAGCAATTGTTCAGTGCAGCCGGCCTTATATACGAGCCTCTAAGAAATCGCCGCATGGGAGAAAAGGCAGCAAAATTACTTTTTTTGGAATAGAATATGCCCCTTTTGAACTTTGACTACTACATTAAAACACTATATAGGTTAAGCGCTCGTCCAATTTTCAAATAATTTACAAAACTTTTAAGTAATAAAAACGATGACTAAGTTGATTATAGCTTTTTTAATGTTATTCCTATCATTCGCATTCTGAAAAGTCGTATGACATCCGAAACATCCCTATTACAAACATATGCACATACAGCTTTATGTATAAAAAATACTATATATGTATGTATGTAAGTATTGTATAAATAATCACGTCAATACATAACGAAATTTATGTCGATTTTGCAACTTTTGCGAGGCTGATTTCAAAAAACGTATATGCCTATTGTTTATATGTATGTGTGTATGCATATACGTACATAAAATAAGGCCATTTAAAAACGGCCAGTTGTTGTAATTAAATTCATATTAAACTAAATTTAGCATCCCCTTTTAGATGAGTATGCCCTTGCCATCGCGCAGCATCCATCATTCGTTCCTATCGAAATCAACCACTCAACTAACTCAACTACTAGGCTCACTAGCTCACAAAGAGTGAGGTGAAGAAAGCAACTTTTTTTACTCTTCTCGCTTGTCCCAGCTGTCACTTGCTGATCACTGGGATTACTGTTTGTTGTTTTTTAATATTTTTTCTGTTGATAACTCAAAAGATAGAATTAATTTCATATATCTTTTACACTACCTACATAAATTTACGAAATCTGTATGTTTTTCGCTTGTACGACGATAAATTCTTCACATGGTTGGCACTGCTACCGCTCCAATTTTTCTGTAGAACTTTTATTTTTTTTTTAGTTTTCCAACAAGTTTTCTGTTTTTCTACAATTTCGCGCGCGTTGCTTGCTCGCTTCATTCATACATAGTATAATTAATGCAAACGTTTTTTGAGAACGACACTATTCACCACCCGTATCTAGAACCGCCGGCGCGACATCATTCACCAGACGAAATTTTTTGTCGAGCGAGTAATAAAATTTGTGCAACAACAAAACCAAAAATATACTATAAAGCACAGTAAAACTCGACCGACACGGAAACATATGAAAATTTTAAGAAATTCTAGTTTAATGATGATTTGCAGACAACAATGTATCGAAAGGAAAATGCGCGGCGTACATACAAATGTCTAAGCGATGGCTGCTACCAATTTCTATAAAAACTATGTACATTTGTGTGTATACATATATGCACTAAATTTATTTATTTATATATGTATTAAGAATATGCGGACGTGCGAACAAATGCAGCGAACACAAATGAAACGTCTAATTAAACCGAAAGAAAGAACGCAACTGACAACTTTGCATTCGAATGCTGCCCTCTGAAGCGTTCTACGCTCAATTGCTCGACCGGATGGTGCTCGAGCACCGATTGGCACGGAGCATTGTGTGTTCACTCATAACCGTGCAGTGTCGGAGCAAATTTTCCACGAGCATGAAATTCTATAGAAGCATGCATATGAATGAGCGAGCGTATGGATGTGTGTGTATGTGGAAAATTTTTGATACCAGAACAAAAACATAGAACACATGTCGTTAGAGTTTTCCACAGCAGTAAAATGCATGCGTGTGTTTGTTGCTGAGACGTGCATTGAAGAGGCGCATAAGCACTGAGCAAAAAGGTGGAAGATTGATAACGAAACTATAAGCGAGTCTAGGCCTGTCAGGAAATTCGGGGGACTTGCAATAAAGGATGAATAACAGTTAAAAATTGCAAAATCCAACTGAAATTATTCGGCTTTAATCAGATATTGTACATTGGTATCTCGCAGAACCAATCCCTGTTGTTGTAACAGGAGAACGCAACCCTTGGTAAGTTGCCAACAGGATCGCAAAACGCAGGCAACCAGCGACGCGTAGTCAACTAAAGGTTACGAAGGTATGAGGTGGGAAGGAGTGCGAAGAAGAAAAGGCAATCGCCGTCCTTATTGGACGTGGATTTTGCAGCAGAGATGTCGAGATTGCTAGCAGTGAAGAATTTTGAAAGATTGCAGAGACAATAAGTTATAACACAAACGATTGTCTGCATTGGAAGCGACGAGTTCTGTGTGTTTAATTAAAGGGTCGCATAGTTGATCATGTCGAATGGCTTCGGCAGGTCAATTGTATAGTGATCAGTCAATCCACACACTTTTTTTCCTAGCTTGAGATATCCTATTTTTTAATAGATACTCTCGATGAATTTTGAAGTCATCGCTTCGTGGTGATGGATAGTGTCGAACACGCGATGTTCTTAATCAGACAAAAAGGTTAATCAGAGCATTATTGATCCGGGCTGTACGTGTCTTGTAAGAGAAGGAAAGTGCACAGGGCAATTATAAACCACCCCAAAGAAAGGGTAAGGATAATAACAGGTTTTCCGACGAGCCACCAGCACAAGCTAGGGATCTGGTCGAACGACCTATGTCCTTTCTGCGATGTGACTGAGGAGACTCCTCTGCACCTGCTTCGCGAGTGCGAGGCGGTTGCGAGAAGAAAGGAGAGGTACCTAGGACAACTCTGGCCTAGTGAAGAATTTATACAATCGCTAGCCCTCAAATCCTTCAAATTTTTGGGTTCCCTAGGAGTAGATGAGCTACTGTAAATGAGGGTACAATAGGTCTCTTGGTCGCAATGCATACCCCTATTTCAATCTATCTACTATATACGTTTTCTTCCTCGGCAAGGGAATTTTTCCTGTTTTCTTTCAATTTTTAAGTTTTATTGTTTAAAAGTAAATACTTTTTAATTTTATTTAATGGTTAGTAACTTTTTAAATTAATTTTTTCTTTAATTTGCTCAAATGTTACATTCTTTTTCGTTTAGCCGGCCACGGATGCGCGAGGCTGAATGTATATGTGTGTACCAGGGATGTTGCGAATGTGGAATTTTAGACATCCGCGGATGCGAATGCGGATGCGGATGTTTAAACGCTAACATCCGCGGATGCAGATGCGAATGCGGATGTCAAGTATTTTTATACCCGAGCGCACTTGTACGCAAGGGTATTATAATTTGTTTACATAACGGCTGTTTGTAACAGGCAAAAGGAATCGAGATAGATATAGACAAATGTATACATAAATGATCAGAATGAAAAGAGTAACCGTATGTGCACACGATAATGAAACTTGGTATGTGTACTTCTTTTGAGCGTAGGGCGGATGGTGTTGAAATCGGACGATAACCACGCCTACCTCCCATATAACGGTAGTTTTCAGAAATACGAAAACTGCGATATTTTAGAAACTACTGAAGCTTACTCACTCAAAATTGATATGTGCAATCATTTTTAAACGAAAAATAAGAATATTATAAATTTTTGGAAAATTAGTGTAGGCACGCTCACTTATGATTACATGTGTATATCTTGGGAACCGAAAATTTAAAAAATCGGATAAAAACCACGCCCACATCCCACATAACGGTAATTTAGAGAAATACGAAAGCTTCGATAAATCAGTAAATACTGAAGCTAATTTATTAAAAATTAATGTTTGCAATAATTCTTTAGCAAAAAATGTTACCAGTTCTTGTCACCGCGATTCTAGGAACGTTGGTAATGCAGTTAAAATATTCAGCTATGAAGAATTGTGCAAGTTCTGGCATTGCATATTTCACGGGGTAATACTTTGTTACCAGCTTATGAGATGGTTACAAGAGTACACTGAATGCGAAAAGGGTTTAAAAATTGACAGACACTTTAATTACCGGTTACAAACTTTTTATTCACAGCGCAGAATAGACCTGTTATAATAAAACTTAAGACCACATATGTGTATCTCGGTAACCGTTCGATCAATGTGTACCAAACTCGGTATGATTATTGTGGTTGTCCCATAAAGGCAAAACGATGAAAGTTATTGAAATCTGACTAAAATTACGACCACCTTTTTTAGCGCTCATTTTACCCAAAATTGATACTAACCACAATCCCTTGAAAAGAAGTAACATTATTATGGAATTTTGGAAAATGGGCGTAATGCCGCCCACATATATTTATATAAGTTTATCTCATTATGTCTAACTGAACGTTCTATCGAAGATGCTTGAAATAGACGTAAAACCACCACTGCTTACCATGTAGCGGTAGTTTTCGGAAAGTTGAAAAAACTATATTGAATACTTGCGCCGGGTATTTAATGTTCGGCTCCGCCCGAACTTAGACTTTTTTACTTGTTAAGAAATAATTTAGGTGAGTAAATTAGGTGATTTAGTTAAATAAAAAATGCAAAGGTTAGTAATTTTTAATAGATTTTTTTTTAGTACTTGAATTAAGAAATTGGAACATTGTATTTAATAAAATGTTTTTAAAGGGTCGTAAATCAAACCTGCCACTAAATAACTACTCGCTCGCTGCGAAAAACTTGAAACTTGACAAAATTGTAAATTCTTCTCGATTGACGCTGCACCAGTCGAGAGGACTTTCAGTTATATTTATTTATTTTTTATTGCGGTGTGATAATTCTTTTTTGGGAATTGCATCGGTCTGTAAATGTCGTATGTAGTATCATGGCAAGATCATTGTTTAAACACCGTTGTTTTCCAAAGAATTCTTCATTCTCATTCTTTTGTTACTTGCATAATATTCCAGGGACCGAAAATAACAGTTATTTTTTTACCAGTTAAACTTGGCCTAATATTTTTTATTCCGAAAGTTTTTCTGGGTAATACACAACGTGTGTCAAGTTAGCACTACACTTTTCGAAATTGGAAAAGTTAACTACGGCACTAATTGTAGTGTTTTTGTTGTGGAAAGAAAAAATTTGTAGCTCTCGTTTTTTAAGAAAAAAATGGTATGTAGTGCTAACTTGACACCATACACCTAGTCGATA